TGACAAGAGCTCAGGGGTAGTAATAAACATGAAACCTGAAATTCCATGCAATTCCAAATAATAAAGAGTCCACCACATTTTTATGCTCCTTCTAAGCTTTAGAAAGCCACATTTTATTGAAATTAGTGAAATATTTTTATGACATTTGGAAATATGCTTAAGAGTCCAGAAACAGGCAGCAGAAACTTGAATTTGAGTTCCAATTCTCATACTTATTAGCTGAAGAAAAACAATCACATTATGATTTAAAAAAGAAACAATTTCATCGATTTTCAATTCACGTCATCTGCTACTTCTTTAATGCCCTCTCTTATTTATATTACGTTGTAAGACAAATACACGGGCATACAAGTAAGGCATATGCTGCATTAAAAAGGACATGACTGGGATCTGGGGATTTAGCTCAGTGGCATAAGCGCCTGCCTTGCAAGCAGGCAGTCGTGAGTTCGATCCCTGGTACCGAAAAAGACAAAAAATAGGACACAATCCACACAGTATCTTCCTAATGCACAAGCCTTGGAGTTCAATATTTTACATAAAATATATTTGGAAGCATACATTTTGTGTGTGTGTGTGTGTGTGTGTGTGTGTGTTTCATTTTTATCGGTACCAGGGATCAAACTCACGACTGCCTGCTTGCAAGGCAGGTGCTTATGCCGCTGAGCTAAATCCCCAGCCCCTGGAAGCATACATTTTTATAATCATTGTTTTTGAGAAATATATAAATTTAAAATGCTATTAAGAAATAAGAAAAACTCAACTGTAACAACTGTTTTGCATTTTTAGTTTGTGCTTTTGGTTCTATTTATGTTAGTTTCAACTCATGTACGCTATCTATGTTGCAGTAGGAAAGTGTCCAATCTAACAAGCACTTAAGAAGCATTTGTTGCATGAAGGAAGGAATAAACAAATGAACAAACACCAAATAACGGTCTATTTCCTTAAAATAAATGCTGCCCAGAAGGTTGTTCATTTGCTTCTATGTTTCCTAAACATTAAGTTGTTTCAAATACCTAAATAACTTCATATTTAGCACTCCAGCCTTGGAAACCCACATTACATTGAAATTAGTAAGTGAAAATTTTTTTATGATATTTGGAAATATGTTTAAGATCCCAGAAATAGCACACACTTCAATTTGAGTTCCAGTTCTCATCCTTACTAGCTAAGAAGCCCTGAAGAGGTAATCTGGTAGCCTACAGACTCACTCTTCTCTCTGGGAAATAAAGGTAACAACTGTCTTAGCTGGCTCACAGGATTTTAATGTAAGTAAAAACTGCACACATGGACTAAAACTAGGAGAAAGAGATCATAATAGCTTCAGTGTTTCTTCTCCAGTAACAAGATAGCAAAAGTAAGTATCTTATTGGAAAAGTCACCCTTCAACTGTCAAAATAGTTCCTTCCTATCAATACAGAGGCATCATTAGTACCAACCATTTGACCTATAATAAAAATCACATTTAATGGACAGCATGAGATCGGATAACTCTTCATAGCTTTAGGATGTCACTTCAAAATGGGGAAGGAGTAAAAGAAGGTCACCTTACAACACTGCCAGTGACAGGTCTGAGGTCTTGCCTTTTTGAGACAGGGTCTCACTATGCAGTTCAGGCTGAGCTTGAGCTTACTTTACAGCCCAGGATGGTCTCGAACTCTCAAGGATCCTCCTGCCTCAGCATCCCAAGTGTTGGAATTACAGGTGTGCACCACCATCGCCTGGCCAATGCCACTTCTTACAAGTGCTTTGGTAAGATGAAAACACAGCAAATCAAAACACAAATTAGACCATACTACCCATCAGCCCAAACTCACTGTTGATGATCTATGGGAATGACATCTCAGTATCTGAGATTTAGGATTCAAAAGGTTTAACTGGCTTTATCATTTTGAGTTACCTGAATAGTTCTCCTTAGTGTACTACTTTGATAATAAGAACAGAATACACATATTCTTTATTGTTGATTTTTTGATAACACATTCATTCAATTTACCACTTTCTAGGAAATCAGCTACCATATTGAGTCTGTAATCAATACCTTTGTATTCCTAAGACTCTTGAGAAAAAGTACTGCTGTTAAGTCACATTATGTGTAGGTATATATGTGTGCATGCGTGTGCATGTGTGTGCATGTAACCACTCAAAAAACAGGCATTCAGTACAACGTTTTATATTTTCTTGTTCTAAGTGTGTAGTTAATCTACACTCCCTCCTGTGTATTGTTTTATACTTCTTTGCCACATTTTAAAGAGAAAAAAATAGGGCTGGAGATATAGCTGAGCCGCACAAGAGACCATTTGGAGCAAGGTCCTGAGTTTGATTCCCAGTACCAAAAATTAAAAATAAAGAGGAAAAAATAGATGAAACTGACTTTAATATTTATTTGACTCAATGTAATCAACATATCATTTTAATATGTAATCAGTTTAAAGATAATTCAAACAATTGTTTTATCTAAGCCTTTGAAATCCAGATTATATACTCTATTACATACATAGCACATGTCAGTTTTAACAAAATTTTCATCAGAAATTTCGCTGTTTAGATTTCACTAAAACTTTATATCTGAAAAAGGAAACCCATACTAGTAAAACACTAGCACCTCACAGACACTTTGTGTATTTATACAATTGCAGTCAACTATATTACATTATTCATTGAAAGGGAAGGCAGGTCAAATTCCTGTTGATTTTGTATACAATACAAAATTTTGCACTGGTTTATTTATCCTTCTGACAAAGCCTGCCATGAATTGAAAGGCAGGCAAGAAAGCCACTGGAAAAATTCTGAGGAAATATTTTAGATGATCTGAAGAAATACTTTAGTTGATTTAAGTTCAGGTCCTCGCTTTCTGCATTCAAATTTTTCTAGCAATGTCAAGATATGAATAACTTATCAAAGGTACTGTTCTGTAACTGAACTAGTACAAGACCCAGGAAGAAACAGCTGGCCTTAACCTAAATAAAACTTCACAAAGGATGTTTTTACCTCCCACCCATACTGGGTTAATGGTTAAGAACTTGGGCTTGCTTAGGTTGGAACTTTGCTTCTGCTATGCAGTGCTGGTTTAACTCTGGGCAGCTTAATTAATTTTTCTGTGCCCCTTAGGATGGCCATAAAATTAACAGGACCTAAGTCACAGACTGTTGTGAGAAATAAATGAGATTTTTATATGATATAAAACATTTTAACACACAGTCCTGACTCAGGTACTTAGGTGTGAAACAATTATTAGCATTTTTAGCTCAGAAATCATAACAGAGATGGAATATATGCTTGATAAATTTGTTACAAATCATTATTATATGTCCAGTCACCTTATAAATATTAAAATGCTATATGAAATATAGCAATTCTTCCATAAGTACAGAGAGTAACACTGTTTAGACCAAAGAACAATGTATTTAATGAAAAAATCCATGACAGCACCAAACTTAATCTTCTATGGCTTGCTAAGCTACATCAAAGCTTCTAAAAAAGTGTTTTCCCCCAAAATCAGGCCCATATTTTTTCACCTTAAAAATACTAACAGGCATACCAAAACTAAATATAAAGGCTAGGGTCAGTAGTCACTTGCCAGGCTTGTACAAGGCCTCAGGTTCCATCTTCAGCACCACAAAAATAAATAAATAAATAATAAAAATTTTTAAAATTATATATGGTCACTTTGATATATTAGATATGATATTTATTAGTCAATATCACTTCAGATTCATTTCATCCATCTGTGCTCACTTCCACTGGAAACTGGATCACTGGAAATGATGGACAAACTATCCTAAGTCTCAAATCTCTAAAAGTAGCTTCTCCCAAAGATAAATCTGTTGTTTTCATTACTGTGCTATCCTCTTTCTTCACATTCCATGATCAGATCTGCTAACAAAACTGCCTTTTATCGGATGGTGCACCTGTAATCCCAGCACTCAGGAGGTTGAGGCAGGAGGATAAAGAGTTCCAGGTCAACCTGGACTACCTAGCAAAATCTGGTCTCACAGAGGGAAAAGAAAAGAAAACTGCCTCTTTCTGAGTTTACTGGGGTTTTTTGTTGCTGTTGTTTTGTTTTCTTTTGGTTTTTGTTGGTTTATTTTTCCTTCTTCCCTTCCCTTTCCCTTTTCCTGATACAGTGATTAACACACAACTTTAAGGTCAAAAGAAAGGTAATGACAGTGAATCTGAAAAACTAATCTAACAACAGATAAGAAACCCTGGATTAATAATTTTAAAAAGGCGAATTAAAACGTCAAAGCTTTGTAACAGGTGATTCTAAACAATCATAAAACTGTCACCACCGTGGGTGGCAATTCACTCCTCCGTAAAAATGAGGACTGGAGAATCTTTCATATTCACTACATTTAAATTGATTAAAGATACATAGAATCCATAACTCTCATTCTCTACCCAATTAAGATATAACACCAGAAAAGAAAATCTGTCCGTAAAACAATAACTACAGAAACGCTTTCACCACAGAAATTTTAGAACACATTTCCAGAAAGACTACAGGGGAACCCATTATCTCCACAACCCTTACAGGTAGAATAAAAAGAAATGAATGAACAGTGGACTCTCCGAGCGCGAAGGCCACGCACTAGCAGGACGGTGAACCATGCGTGCTTCATTGATGTTGTTCATTCCGAGCCCACGCTGCAATTTTCCACGAGCGGCTGTCACAGCTCCTTCCCCGCGGGCGCCCGCACTGCGCCAACGCCCGCGCGGGTGTCGCGGGCGAAACCCCTTCTCGCCCCCCCCCGCCCTCCGCGGCCCACTCCCACGCGCGAACGCGGTCGCGGGTCCCCGGGCCGCTCGCCGCCCGCCCCGCTCGGAGCGACTCCTCCCGGCCCGCTGGCCCCACGCAGCCGCGGATGCTGGCGGGACACTGCCGGCAGCCGCGAGTGGGCTCGCGCGGGCGCTTTGTGTGCAGCCCCGGGGCCGCACGGGTGACAGCGCCCACGCGGGATGTCGGAGCCCCCCGCCCTCGCCGGCCCGCCCGCGCCCCTCACCTGACGGCCACGCGCACGGAGCTGTCGTCCGGGGCGCCCCACATGCTGGCGGCGGTAGGGGGCGGCAGGGGCGGCGGGCTCAGCGGCGGCGCCGCGCTCCAGCCATGTTGGCGGCGGGCTGGCAAGGTGACGAGCGGAGGGCGCGGAGGGAGGGACTGGGCTCCGCCGCCGGCTGCGGCTCGGCCCGGCTCGGCCTGGGCGGGGACGAGCGCGCCCGAGTGACGCGCGCGACGGCGGCGGCGGCGGCGGCGGCGGGGAGCGCGCAGGCTGCGGGGGCCTCAGGCTGCGGGCTCCGAGCCCCGGCCCGGCCCGCACTGCGTCGGCGCGGCGCCCGCCGGCCAGGCCCGGCCCTGCCCTGCCCTGCCCTGCCCTGGGCCGCGCTGCCCTCCGCGGGCGCTGCCAGGCGCGGAGGGGGAGGGGCAGCCCCGAGGGGAGGGAGGCGGGGACTGGCCGCCCGGTGTCCCAGAGAGCCGGCCCGGCTGCCTGGGTCCTTCTGTAATCGCCCGCGCGCCAGCAGCTGCTGGGGGCCGGCTTTGTGTGCACCTTATTGTCCTCCCTGCGTGGACTTTGGACCCCCCCTCCCGTCCTGCAGTCAGTCAGTCATGTTGAACCGACTTGCCACCGACTCCCCGACCGGGACCCTGCGGCCGGGCAGCTGGGCGGTGCTGCAGCCGCTAGTGCGGGCCGTGGAAATGATTTACCCCAGGAGTTGCTAAATGCGTTTCTGTTCAATCGTTTGCACACTGGTAAATGAACTGCACCTTAGAATTTGCCAACGGTTCCCGGGGCTGAATACCCATTGAGCGAGCCAGGTGGTAAATCCTTCCTGGCTGAGGTCTCTCTCTCCCTGCCGGCCCTCGGAAAGCACCTTCCTGTCCTAGGATTCTATCAGCGTTGTTCCACTGCGGCTTCTGCTTGTCATTGTGGGGCTTCCACACGCCATTAGACAGTTCTGTGGAAACAGCCTTTGTGAGCTCAGCCACAGAGTATCTTTTGTGGATGGCCACGTACATTTCTATAAATAAACATGTGGGTTCATGCGAAACAGTTACAATAGATTAAATGCCACTATCCAAATAAAGGCACCGCCTCAGTGTATATAATCTAAAATCACACACCTGTCAAAGATCCTGACCCTCAAAGCTACAACACAGTGGGTCGGAGAAGGCAGCAGGCTTTGAGCCGAAAAAAATAGTTGTAAACGTCCTCCGTCTCAATCTCACTCCAGCTAAATTGTAACAGATACATGGTGGACTGTAAAGAAAGCAAAAACAGTATCTTTCTGCAGGATACACATTGTGACAAAGCTCTCCCTGGCAAACCCGGGGAGAGCCTTTCCTCACCTACACAAGGCAGTGGGGCCTTCTTCTGCAGGCGAGGCCAGGCCACTTTCAGGTAAATCTGGATGGGCCCCATTGGCTTCCTGAGCCCTGCAAGGAGGGGGAGCAGCAAAGCACATTTAGCAAAACGAGAGAGAAATGCTTGTTTTAATAATTTAAACCCTAGTTTAAAATAGCCCTAGTCCATATTAGAACGCCATAGGCACTCTCACAACGTGAATGCTTACAGGAAATGACAGGTAACTTTTGTGATGCAGCAGGCAAGGTGCCTAAGATATGACAGAGGACAAAGGCCCCGTGGGAGGAGGCGGGGAGCAGCGGTACCTTCACCTCCCTTTGAGGGTGGCCTTGCTGGGAAGCAAACCCTGTGCTGACACTTGCCTGTTGATTGTTTCACATCATGTCTCTGTGGGAAGAGTCCTTAGTTTTAAATGTCATTAACTAATTCCGTGCAGTACATACCTCTGGTGCCAACCATTCAAAGTCTATCTCAGGCCAACTTCAGTCCTGACTGCCTGCCTAGAATTTCTGGTCAAAATATGGTTGTAGTTATAGCTGTGGTTTGGGGTTTGTATTATGCATGTGCTTGGGCAGAAGAGCGTTGTGAAAATTCAAATCCCCATTGTCATTGGAGTCAATAAGTTTCTCCCAAATATGGAAAGTTATACAATCGATCACCCATTTTGTGCTTACTCCGGATGCCTGTAACTCCTATATAACAGCTTTCCTTAGGGCTCATTTATATCAATCATCTTATTTGAAGAAAACTCCACAGGCAGAGCATGTACTGTGAGAATGGTTTAAATTCTATTTCAATCCTTTATTCAATAAATATTTAATGAGACTGCTACTTGCAAGCCACACTGGGCAATTGTAATTTGGAGACTTAAAACAATGTCTTTTCCTACAAGGATCATCAAAACAATTTGCCTGAATGCACTCCTGCTTCCATCCCATAGGAGAAATGCCCGGGGTGAGCTCAGAATCATCCCCAGCCCTTTCTTTAGTTTTTACTTTTTTGCTATGCTACTAAATTGCCCAGGATGGGTTTAAATTTATGATCCTCCTGCCTCAGCCCAGCAGACCACTAGGATTTTGGATGAAAATGTCGAATTATATTTCCCCCTAAGGACCGTAATAGAAAAGAGAAGACTGAAAGGCTGTTGTGGCTCCTGCTGCATTCCTGTTACATGATAGTTTACCTGTGCAAGATGGAAATCCAAAGCTCCACAACTTCATTTGTCTTATGGCCTTTCTTTTAAACAAGCATGAGCAGCTTTTTGAATAAAAACTTAGCAAAATAATAATAATGAAATGGAATAAATAAAACACATTATTGTTGTCGTTCCCCTCCAGGAAACGTCAAATACTCATCTAACCCAGGTAGAGTGAGTTCTTCTAGACCGTGTGCTCTTGGTTCTCTGCCTCTTCCCATGTGGACCTCACCCTGTGTGTTACCTGACCCCTGACCTTCGTGTCATCAACTTGTGCCAGTGATGCTGGTCTCTTTCATGAACACGTCATTACATTCTTGCCTGGGCCATTGGCAGTAGCTATTTCCCTTTACTTGGAACATTTTTTCATTTAATTGGCTCATCTTGGACCCTTAAAAGCATTGACTCAAATGTTATTTCCTCAGAGTTGCTCCTCCTGACCACTCAGTCAAAAAGAATAAGCAAGTATTACATGATTTGTACTATTTAGTGAAAAATGAAGAAATAGGGTATTTTGTTAACCCTAAATGCCCTAATTTTTTCTTTTTGTTTTTTGGTACTGAGTTTTGAACACAAAACCTTCACACATTTTATTTATTTATTTATTTGTTGGCAGAATTTCTGTTTGTTTTTTGGTACCAGTGATTAAACTGCCTTGCACTTGTCAGGCAGGTACTTATGCTACTGAGCTAAATCTCTAGCCCTTTTTGGCAGAGTCTTACTGAGGAGCTAAGATACCCAGGCAGGACTTCAAATTGCAGTCCTGCCTCAGCCTCCTACTGCCTTCAAATTACTGCCATGAACCATCATACCTCGCTCTCTTAGTGTGTTATGATGTTTTTATTTGCTACGTAGCATCATTCTCTGTAAAGAAAACGTAAGTTTTAGGTTATTTGCGTGAATTTTACTTTGATATTTATATTTATGCAATGCTACTTTTAAATATAGACAGAAAAGCATTTAACATGTATGTAAATATTATTCCTTTCCAAGTTCATATGTACATATTCATTTTATTCTTAAATGAACAATGGGCACAGTGCACAAAAGTAAATTTTTAATCATCCATGTTTGCAATACTGTACATCATGACTGCATCTCTTGTAGAGAGGTGGCACATGTATAGAACACATTTTAATTCTTTTTTATCCCCTTCCACACCCCTTCCTCTGCCTCCATCTTTTAATTCTATTCCACTGAAGAATGATCTGTCTCCTTTTTTTTTTTTAAATCGGTACCGGGGATCGAACTCACGACTACCTGCTTGCAAGGCAGGCACTAAATCCCCAGCCCCTGCTTTAGCATTTTTGCATTAGAAGCAAGTTCTGATCTGAGGAAAAGATGGTCTTCCAAGGGTTAGCATCTCTGCTTTCTTAGTTGTAGACACAGCACATTTTGTTCACAACTTTGAATCAAGTAGATCTCCCTGGGTATGGGAGTTAACCAGAATTCTATGCTTTTGGGGAGACTGTGAATGTTACACAAAAACAGAGGATCAAGGAATGAAGGACACACATATCACACACAGGTCCTCTGCTTACCCACATGCTCCAGTATTTTATCAGGCCACACTTAACAAAACCCAAGTCTTCAAATAAAATTAAGACTCACAAGGCCTGGGATGTAGCTCAGTGGCATATGCACCTGCCTGACAAGCACAAAGCCCTGATTTCAATTCCCAGTATCCCCTGCAAAAAATAAATAAAATTAAGATTCACAGTATGGTGACAACAAAGCCTTAAACCAAGGGCAGAGCCTTGCTGATCACATGCTTTGTATGATAACACAATCATTGACCCAGAAAGCCTGCTCTGGATCCCTCCTTACTTGCTATCACATCACCTTTTTATTTCTTGTTATCCTTTAGCACTAACCAATATTTTTGTGGTTTTGTTGTTATTGTTTATTGTCTTCTCTCTATGTGAAGGTGAGTTCCAAGATAGCAGGAATTTTTTTCATTTTATCCATGACTCTTTCTTTAGCTCTCTAAATAGTATATATCATTAAATGTTAGCTGGATGACTATGTGACTGCATAAAACATGAGACCTTTCTAAGTCTTGGAGTCTTATATGTAAGTAATGTGTTTTTTTAATCTTTTGGAATTGTTTTGAGAACTGAAAAATCTTTCCTAAGTAAACTAGTAGGTAATTTTATTGTAAATATCCTTGGAAATACAGAGTGTTTCTTGAGATTGAGTACTGATGCTGCATTTGCACCTGTCTCAGGTAGGAACATTCACTCCAATCCCCGCCCCCACCCCACCCCGGAACAGCCAGAAAAAAGCTGCAACAACTTGTGCCGATTTTTCCCTCTTGGCTATCTATGCTGTGTTTTTCAGGTCTCTACATTCTAATCAGTCATTAAAAGTTATTCGACTCTTCCATTTTGCTGCTAGCAGAAAGATGAAAAAAAAATACTCCTGATCATAACCCCATATGCAAACAACTGTCTTGAAAAGGCATGCCTAGACAACCATATTCTCAGAATCTTTTTCGAAAAATCAGTAGGGAGCTAACCTTTCATGTCACAATCAGAAATACCACCTTTTCTTCAGTGATACCTTTCATTTTGTGCATTTTTTCCTCATTTATAACAATGGAAAACATTTATATAGCTCCTGGTC